CTTATTGCACTCGAATCCGCAAAAGTGTAAAAAAAAAAAAAAAAACAACATAGTTCACTCTGTGTAACGCTAATAAAAAATTTGGCTCTCTCTGACGTCCGGCGATCATCAAAGTGCGGCTGTGGAATAAAATTTATATTTTATTTCATAATAAGTTTTTTAAATATTTTTTTCACGACGGATTTTCTCCACCAAATAACATCAGGGTTTTGTTAGCTATCGAGTTGTATACGATGATTTGATAGAGACGCAAACGCGTTTTTTCGCCCACTCGCGTTGTCAAATATAATTCTCTCTCCTCCTCGCATTCAGAGTCGCGCGAACTTGTATTAGATAAAAGAGAATGTGATATAGATAAAGGAGAATATTCCGAGCGCGCCCCACATACGTCCAGATAGTTCACTACAAAAACTTCTGATAAAAACAATTTCTGGAAGGTAAAATTATATTATCGCTCGTTTAACACGCGCATACATATTGCGTCAGGCCACTCCTTCGATTATGGCGAATCGCGAGAAACGCGGAATCGCAAACGATCACTTTGATCCGCGCCGCGCGTACGTGCGATGTTATCGTTTAATGGCCGTATCTCGCTGATAGAATCGTGACAACGTAATAACAGATTTTCACATCCAAGGTAGGGCCGATAAGTCCCTTTCCCCCCCATTCTCCGAACGTCGGCGTAATCTTCAATTCAATTTGTTCTCACGATCGGTTTTAGTGCGCGCTATTTGTCGCGCGCTTATGTGATGCGACACACACTCTCTGCTTCCACCCGGAAGAACACGCGGTCGCAGCGTTTTTGAATTTTTCAGCGAGCCATTACACGTGGGTTTTAATTGCATCTCGCGAAAAGATAATCAACGAGAGAAAGCGCAGATATTCGCTCGTAAAACGGAAAAAAAAGATAATTCAGAATTAGTGAACTCACACATAAACACACACACACACACACACACACGTCATACTGAGGTTCTCCGTAACCCTCTCAATAATCTAGTTTTTTAGTTTATAAAAAGTTTTTTCTGCACATATTACACACGTTAAATTGTGTAAATAAATAACAGATCGAAAAACATATTTCTTGAAAAAATTATCATAAAATTTACGTATCCGTAACATAAAATATTTAATCGACAGCAATATGTGCAACCGCATGATGTCCAAACCCCGACTCCGTGATTGCATCTCAGCTGTCTAAGAAATTATGCGCATCAAATTTGATTTAATTACAAAACATTGCGTAGCGTCTATATTGCGCTCTGTGGTTCAATTAAGAGTAAATGATTTTGAACCAGATCTCCATTACTTTATTGGCTTCGCCATCGCGCGATGAGCGCTTTCACAAGAGAGCGGAAATTGCGAAATTTACGTTTAACTTACGACAAACGTGTCTTCCAGCTCTAATCTTCGAGCGGGGAAACGTATCGGACGTAATAGTGTCGATAATTATCGGAGTATGTGAAATTAGATGATGGATCATTACACGAGCTTCTCGATCCATCACTACGCTCATTAAAGCACTTACGCACCGTGAACGCATCGATCGTAATCTGCGCGAATATTCGACTCTCTTGCAACCCCGCTCGAAAACTCCATCAAATATCTCTCTCATTTCACTCCGTATTGTCTTTGATTTAATTTATTCGGGAGCGACTTACGTCGGAAAAATAACCGCTGAATTTTAAAATAAAAAAGTAACTCAATCATTCTTCTTCAAAATAATTGTTTTTTATAAATAAAAAAATTGAAATTTAATTTTAATTAATTTTAATTAATTTTTTTCAACTCAACGCAAATGTTGATGCAAAGTAACATGTGATTGCAAAATATTTACTGCGCAAATTTTTATTTGCGTCATATAATCAATTCGTAAAATATAAATAAATATTGTGTATGCTTATTAACATTTCATTGTAATTCTCTTATGAATAAATTTATTTCGTCAATCATTTTTTCAATGTTACGTTTTTATATTTTTAAGGAAAGTAACTTTTATTGCGCGCTTATAAAATTATATTTATTAAAAAATATATGTCAATGTGGGATCAAAGTGTTAAGAGAAAAGTTGCGTGCTCGCGATAATACTTTGCTTTCGGTTTTTACTTGCAATTTCTCAACGAAGAAAGTTCGCGGCGTGCACTTCCCTTTCAACCTATACGCTCGAATGTACGTGCGCGCGAGTAGCAAACAGGGTCAACGCCGATGAAAGTCAATAATAATGCACGCGCAAACAAATGTCTACACATCGTTTTCCGATTTGCATAAGCAAACGTTATCCTAGCGAACCGTTAATGAGCGTTAATAAATTCCATCCTTGTGACGATCTCGATTTGTCATCTTTGACGAAATACCATTTTCTTTCGCCTTTCCCTCCCCCCCCTCAAGATACACAGCTATTAGAATTTATACGAATAAGAAAACTGCTTCTTTGCGAAACATTCTATAATATTTCTTACATTTTTCGCGGTTTATTACAACTCGTTGGAAATTACATGCAATTACCAACCACTTCGCTGAAAATTCTCGATTGCGATTCCGTTAATGTCACGGTACAATGTCCCGCATGATCTGCATCCTTGAACGAACTGTTCTCGGCCGAACAAAGGATATATTCAGGAAACGCACGCGGAATCGCGCGGATCGCTTTCCTCATTCTCATTCGTGCGATTTGCAACGTACATGGAAACAAATAAATCGATTCCGACAACGAACTCGAGCAAATATCTTGCACCGTATTTTATATATCACGTGTGTGCGCAATAATTTCCAATTGTAAAAACCATTATAAAGATTACACTATTTTTCTAGATTACGCTATTTTAACTAATATGAAAATATCATATATGGAATATTCGTATATACGAAACAGGTGGTTAATTCTAACAAAGCGCAAGTAAATTATTTCGCAAGTGTGAACCATCACCAAGTTCTCCTTTACGGGCGCGAAGTTTCATAAAAAAAAAAAAAGAAAAAAAAACAATTCGCGGAAAAGTCAGGAAATTTCATTTCCCGGAGAAGCGGCGGGAGCTTTGTGTGGGACGTGCGCACGTTTCGCGCTATCGCGAGAGAGAGAAATATGACGCAAGACGCACAATAAAGTTTTTGCCATTATAGAGCGAGCGCCGCGGCTCGCGCGCAAACGGTACCGTTCTGCATGAAAGCGCGGCGACGGCGGCGGCTGCGGCGGCTGCGTCGTCGTAAATGGTTGCGCTTGCCGTTGCCGTAAGTCACCTGACAAGGAGGATGCGAAGAAGCGGCGAAAGGGACGCGTATCATCATCCGCAACATCTCGCGGCTGTTACGTGAGAATGCAACGCGCGTATATACCCACTGACCGGCTTCACGTAACGTCTCGCGGCAGGCACGGGATTCTGCACGCTCCATTACGAGTCACGCATCGTTCTCTCTTGCATTAATCTGGGTTGTACAAAAAATCGAAAATCGATGTATCGCAATTAAAATATATATATATATATATATATA